ATGTATTCTAAAAACCAAAAGACACTAAAAAAGGCGAACAAATATTTACTTAAAAAAGGAAAAATAAACTATGTTCTTTTTGAAACAGTAAATTTTTTAATTAAAAGAAAATTAATTTACTAAAAAAATACATAATAAAAGAAAAGAATAAGTTTTTAAAAATTAAATTACATTAAAAAATTATTTTTCTTTTTAAAAGAAAATATATTAAAACAATAAAATATGTTTCTAAAAATTTAAAACAATTATATTTTTAAAACAATAAAAAAGTTAGATAAAAAATGATATATGCTTTTTGTCAAAAGAGCTATTTACCATGAAAGTCGACAAAAGAGCTTTTTTGCAAAACTTTCGTGCGAATATAAACAAAACCTTTCAAACCATCTTGCATAATGTCTTTCAAGTGTCTTACATAAGACTTTCAACTAAGTTAGCCAGAATTATCCTGTTAAAGAATTTAGAAAGCAGTAGCCGAATTGCTGCATTTGTTTCAAAGTAATTTATTTCCAAACAACCTATTCATTTGGATAATCTTTGAGACTGACCGCTCTATTCCGACAGGGTGTGTATACATTAACTGGCAAGTAAATTTACTTAGGTGGGATTGTGCGTATGCGTAAATGTAACTGTACACAAAATACAATTAACCAAATGCATTTATAAGTATGTATGTAGATACGAGTAGGCAGTTGCTACAAAATTTCAGATGCGTAAAGTTTGCTAAAGGCCATCGACAAAACGTTTTATGTGTATATACATATAAGTACATATGTAGTTATGAAAGTGGTCGATTCCTCACAAACAAGCATACATATGTAGATACATACATAAAGGCCAGCTCTGCTACGAATTAAACAGCCAGTAAAGTACTTCATTGCAAATGGTTGTAGGTAAGCAAAAATTTTAAAAGTGTTTCAGGTGACGCAAAACGACTGTATATACGTACTTGCACCTACGTACAATATTAAGTACATATATGTATAACGCCAGCTACGTTATGCTATTTGTGGAATGTGCAAATTGGCGCACCATACTTAAATGAATTTAAACGCAAGCATGCATACTTACATACACATAAACAAATATTTAAGTATGTAGGCCCAAGTAAGTGCAAATAAGTATGTATGCCTTGCTGTTGCACAACTCCATAGCAATCACATGGCCTACGCTGTCAGTGCAGTTAAGGTCCTTCGTCTGCTAACGTAATCTTCTGTGTCCTGTTGTATGCTGCCTGTTTTACTTTTCTGCAACCACATCGGCAGCGGCACCATGCCGCTTGAGTGTCCTTTAACTTCCCACTGTGCACTGCACAATTCTTCGTGCTGGCCATTTATCATGATCTACTTATGTTTGTACACTCGTAAATATACAAATATTTATGAATGTCTGTATGTATGTATGCATGTTTATATTACGATGACCAAAGCACTTATTCCACTATCGGGGGCGCCCAATTTCCCTGTTCCCTGCCGCCTTAAATGCTACTTACAAGTGCTATCTTCTTCTTCTTCGATTGTCTGTCTACGCTAGCGCGTAGCTTGTGTTGACTGCTACCACCTGGTTGGTGGTTTTGCTTACTTACCTTCATTATACGGCACCACATCAGGATTCTTCTCGTCGTACATCTCCTCCGAATGACTTAATGGCAATGAGATTTTATCCTTAATTTGTAAATTGCCAGGTCGTGAGAATTTCGCATTTTGATGTTGATATTTTTGTTGTTGTTTGTGTGTACGTAATTTCAATGCGGCAATTGTTCCGATGGCAATGCAAACCAAAGCAACCAATATGCCAACGAAGATGCCGACCGAGAGTATGGGTGTGAGTTCAAAGCTCGATTGGGTACCCTTGTAGGATGTCAGTGCGACTGAAAAGATGATGAGAATAAGAAGCGATGAAAAGTGAAACATGATAAAAAGACACTCGGTAATTAAATTGTAAATGTAGGCACATTGATATAAATATGTATATGTAGTATGTATGGAGATAGACGTTTTATTTATGAAGGCATACTTTTTTCACTTTAAACGCAGCTGACGTTGTAAGTGTTGTAAGAACTTAAACAAGTAAGAAAAAAATGTAACTTTCCATAACTTCTTCTTACATTTTTAATCACTTGCTTGCGAGCAAACAGCGTAGCCATTTAAATGGCAGAGATGACGTTGAAGCTTGCTGAAAGTGGTGGAAAGGGGCGACGGTAGAGTGGTAGAAATGGAAACATTAAGTAACCTTAACGAATCTCATAAAAAGCCAGCTAAATAAACTGGCGCACTGGTGCAACATTCGAGGCTTGGGACAACAGACAACATCCGGAATCAAGTCCATAAGCCGTCTTCCCTCAAGGTAGGAATGGTCCGTAGATACAGTCATGGTAAGAGGATTAATTAGAATAATTAGTTATATCATTCAGCTTTCGCCTCCCTAACTACTGCAGTGTTTTTCACACGGGACTGATGGCCATCTCAAAGTCCGAAACATTGGTAAAGTGCAATACGATACCCAATTAAGATATTTAAATTTTCACTGACAGGCGGCTATTAAGTCCCTGGGAAAAATACGCGAGAGTCGACGAAAATTGGAGAGGAAAAGCTCTTGGCAGCTGTTTCTTCAATTGGAACGGCGATAAATCAAAACCACATGCGGTATCACAAAGTAGCCATAAATTAAGAAGCAAGTGGACGTCACCAAAACTAGCTCTTAGCCAGAGCTAACGTGCGGTTCATTATTGATATCTTGGCTTTTTAAGGATGAGCTGAGGTGCGGTTTAATGGAACACTACCTCCAAAGGTTAGATAGTATGAGAAATTACCTTGATCTCAAAACTTTAAAATTAATTTTTTTTACCTAAATACTGGATGTAATAAAATTAAAAAAAGTAAATGCGGTCAACCCGAAACGACCATAGAAATGTGTTCTTTGTTGAAAGAACAGCAAAGATATGTGTTGAAAACTTTTAGAAATGTCATAACACACTGGTTTCATGTCAAAAAAAAATACCTTCTCTTTTTGAATGTCATTTCAAAGGTCAATTCAATTCTTTTGTATTCGCAGAGATCTCAGCACTTCTGTCTCCTCAATGTCACATAATAAGAGATTCTTTAATGTTTAGTTCCCTGAGAGCGACTGTTGGCTTAATGCCAACAACGAAGTTGATGGGGATAAGCTTCACCACTTTTCTCTTGGGGAGTTCGCTTCGGTCTTCCAGGCTAAGGTATTTGCAATGCCAAAGCCATGGACTACGTGGTAGAGAATAGGTGGATGGGGAAGGTATTTACGTGTCTGCAATGGCAACCAGTCTATACTTAAGGCATTGGTCTGCCCTCTAACTACTTCCAAACTTGTTCGACTTGTGATTATGTTGGCAAACGTAACGAACTTACTTCGCTCTGGGTGCCAGGTCACTTGGGAGTATCTGGTGATGAGACATCTAACCAACTGGCCAGAGTTTGTTCAGATCACGATCAGATCACATTCTTCGGTCCGCCAACAGTTATGGCACTACCACCTTCGGTCATCGAAACCACCATCAGAAACTGGGTGAATACTTTGTTCAGAAATGACCAGAGGGCATCGAGGGACGACTGCAGGTGGGCAAAACTCATGTTGCCTTAAATCTCAGAAGGTATATCTAGTTTTTTGCTCTCACTGAGCAGACGGGACTGCAGACAACTTTTTGGACTGCTGACTGGTCACTTCATATGGTACAAATACCTGACCAACTCCATTTGCCCATACTGCCTTGAAGAGGATGAGATTGTGGAATACTTTTTGTGGTTCTGCCCCGCTTTTGCAGTTCATTGACTAAAAATTGGCCAGAGGCCGAATATGGGTTAATTTCGCAAAGGTATGCTGAACCGTTTTCTTTTGTTATCGTAAGTCAAGTCGAACTCCATATTCTGAAATTTTCAGTGAATATCAAACTGAAATAGTTCCTTTTTTATGAATATTTCTTAAAACTTCATCAATATTTATAAATTCGATCCGTCGTAAATCTTTAGTATTTTTTAATGCATTAAACAGGTTGTTACTGGTTTTGTTTAGCAGCTTTCACAGATTTCGCGAAGTCTGAAAATCTCCATAAAATATTTTCGTTTTTATAATATTTTTAGAAGCAGCTGTTAATTTGCGACCTTCAATGGCATTTTTCTGCTTATTAAACTCTTTCTTGCGCATATAATAAATTCATCTACTTTCTAAGAATCTTATATCAATATATGTGTGTAGCAAATAAAACAGGTTTTTTAATAGATAATTTAATTTCTTCTGCCTTTTTTACGCTCAATCTTTCAACAAAAATTGCGCACTCGCGGTGTTTTAAAGAATAAATGCTGCAAACACCATAACCCTTTTCAATTTACCAAGTTGATATAAATCTTCTTAGCTTGTCTTTGTTGTATAGCTGCTGTGCTGTGCTGTCACCCACCGTTCGCCGTCCACGACACTGCTACTTTTGCCGTAGCTAATTAGTATTACAATTTTCATTACTCTGTGCGCTCTTTCTTCAAAATTTTTCTTCACTTTATTTAGCTTGCTTGTTTAGTTTTCCTGCTTTTTTTTTGATTTTGCTTACATTACGGGCTGCCCTTATTTTCATTAAAGCTAATCATTTTAAATTTTCCGCTTCCTCTGGGCATTTGAAGGCGCACCCTGCACCGTCTTGCAATGCAACTCGAACTCTTTCGCAGTCTGCTTTATTTCGACATCTTCTTGTTAGTATCTATTTACATACAAAGTCGTACATAAGAAGATTTTAATATTTTTTTATTATTATTTTTAGTGGCCCCTTCAACTACTCAGGTCTAAGAAAAATCCAATTTTCTGCTTTAAATTATACACCAATGCATTTAAGCGCCCACTCAGCCGCCCGACCGCCCTCCAAAAGGTTTGACGTTGCCTCGTCTGCTTGCTGTTGTGGTCTGCATATTTACTACCTTTTTGGACGATTTCTTCTGCATAATTTAAGGCAAGGTGCTACTTGCGAAAAAAGGTAAATAAGCTCATGCATAAATTGAAATGAGTTTTACTTCCAATTTTCCTACCTAATTTTTGCCCAGGTTTTTGGTTTTTTTTTTTGGTATTTTTTCAACATTTTTTTTTGGTTGTCATAAATATCGCTCATAAGCTGTCTGAGCGATGCAGTCTAGCGTTTAAATGCTACCTTTTCTGAAGGACGTAAACAACAACGTACAAAATGAGAAACGTAAAAAGAAAAATCAGCAAGAAAAAGCGAAAATTTATTTCAGGAAAGGATTTGCAAAATTTTTTCTTAATTCCCATTTTACATTAGTCCAACCCTTTTTCAATTTGCTAAGCGTCTATTATAATGCCAAGAAAATTATCTTGTACTACTAATTTCAATTACGTGACAAAAATTGGTTTACATTACTTAACAAAATGTATGCATAAATAGACATGGGTGGCTGATGGCGAGAAAAGTTGAAGAGAATATGTGTACATATGTAAATATGTATGCAATACTTAAATTTATACGGAATCTGTTTATTCGTAAATGTAAGAAATTTTGTGTTATCACTAATATTAATAAAAAAAATCTCCTACAGTTACCAATTTCATATGTTGAAATTTAAAATTTTGCAAAAGTGAACAAATAGTTTTGAAATTTTGCTCAATTAATTTCATCACCGCTTGATTTAGCTTTAACCCAAGAATCACAAGATGCTTTCATAGCCCGTTAATCAAATCATAAAATACATAAATGTTACGTAATTCGCCGTTGAAAAAAATTAAATTTTGCTTAGACAAAGTTTATAGATTGCAATCGATATCAATATATTTTGTCTTTCATCCACCAAAATATTGGAGTTATTGGCCCATTCTATTTTAAGATATTTGCGTCTTTCCAACTACAATTTAAAATTTAATTTTTTTTTTTTTTTGGAAAAACCATACCTTCCAGAAAGCTTTCAAATTTTGTTACACGATTAAAAAGTATTGGAACTCTTTACAAAAATTTAATACAGCCTATGTTGCGCAAGTCTTACAACAAAAACAACGTAAAATATATATTAGGAGCCGTCTAGACGTCAAGCATTCGGACGCAAAATATAATTTACATGTAAAAGAAAGTCGTAGCGTTCATTTTATTTGTCAAAATTTTAATACAAAAACTAATTTTGGTTACTCTTACCAGTCGGATAACATTTTTTTTCAGAAAGCTATAGGATTACCGATTGTAATTAAATTGAAAGTCGGAACGTCCGAACGCTTGAAATAATTTTGGGTCCTATTGTTTCTATGTAGGTGAATAAATGTATTACATACTTCTGCTTGTACGAAGACATGACTTCAACGAACGTTAAAAGCACGGCTGAGAGTGCAATGAAGTGGCGACGGAATTTGAAAAAAGATGAAGAAAAATGGGCGGAATATAAAAAAGAGAGACCGAAAAAAAAAAAACTATAAATCGAAGAAGTATAAAAGTAGACAATAAAGCCATGAAAAATGTTGAAAAAGCATTAACCAAAGTTATTAGACAAATATGATAGTGAAAATGAGGAGGCGAAATGCGAAAATGAGGACCCTTAATTTATAAAAAATGTACAAGCAGCAGGAAAAAAAGAAACATTGTTAAGTAAGCAATAATTGCCAATACCAAAACGCTATATGGTTTTGAGGGTAAACGAAGCATATAAGCTTTTTAAAAAGGAATTCAAGGATTTTGACATTAGCAAAACAAGTTCAATGGAAATAAGGCCAATTGACACTACTTTGCATACTGGTACGAAATAAATTCAATTGACATTATTACCAAAAGCAAAAGAAATGAAATCCATTGACATTATTGCTCCTTCAAACAATAAATTAGCGTAGCTGCACAGCAGCCCGCGTCCGCGCGCCACACCGCGC